TATACTAACGTTTAGGTCTTCCATTCTAACCTTGCTACAGGAATAAAATCTCTATTTCCCGTTCAACCGTGTTCTGTTTTGGGAGAGAAAGTATCGATTGCATTTGTGTCCGAGAATACTAAGCATTAGGAATAGCTGGGTTGTAATATAAAGTTTACAGCGTGGTTTCAGGAAGGAAGCTGGATTAGTACTGATTTTTGTGACCTAGGGGTGTGACCACAGAGAAAACTTCCGAGAGAAAACTTCTTGAGGCCAATAGTACACAGCTTTTTTAAAGGAGATGTTCGAAGTATTAACTCTGCCTTACCGCTGAAGACGAAAATCCATGTGTTAAGGTGACACTTTCAGGGTCAGACTGTTCTAACCCCTACACCTTCAGTTATAGGAGAAAACACAGCATCGCTGCAGATGCTGTTGTAATATAAAGATAGAACTATAACAGTAACACACAATCTATACTCTGCAAATATGAAAAGTGATAAAGAAAATACGAATCTTTGCTTGACAAAAACTCAATTATCAGCCATTTAACCCATAGTTTACCAAGATATTTCTTCTTCCAACCTATCGGAATGTGTAAAAAACTAGTTCAAAGAAATTTTTTCCTTGTATTCGTTTCAATTAATCATGTATAATAATCATCATTATGTATTCAACGTCGCCAATTGTTACGCATGCACGTAAACACGTCAACTTGATAGGCTTGAACTATTACAAGTTTACACCTTAGTTGGGAAACGAGAGCGAGGATCCGGTGACACGACAGGCTACTCAAATCAGATTATCCCAACCCCCATATTGAGTGAAAATAAGAAGACTTGAATGTGAAGTAGAACCTGTATTCTGAAAACATCCAGAAAGTACGAGGTCCGAATCCAGAAGAGAATCAGGATACCAGACTGAGGATCCGGGTCCAGTACATAAAACGTTACAGATAATGCGTATTTATACATTTCGGTAGAATAGGAAACAGCATCGAAGTCTATGACATTGACAGTTAAGACGACCAATAGGAAATCACATTTGAAGTGACACTGACAGTCAGGATGACCAATAAGAAACAACTTTGAAGTACGCGATGTTGATATCTAGAACGACTATAAAATTGACCAGTAGGAATTAACCAATAGGAATTGACCAATAATTTTCTTAGCATATTGGATGAGCAAATCTATAGAACTAGTGATGTTCCCATAATGAATAAAACAATGATTCAAACGTTTCAATTAATTGGCGAACACACTATGCTATGTATGTACTAGACATTATTACAATAGTCAACACAATGAATTTTAAGGTCAGGTATCTTATTTTATTTCCTTTCTACATTTCTATCATACCAAGAGAAAACGACTACAACCAATTCAATAATAAGAGCTGACAAATCACTGAATGAATCAACCAATAATTTGTATTCATCATAAAAAAATAACATATGAATGCTTAGCATATTCTCTCCAATGTATTGAATACAATTTTATCTTGAGTCATTGTGTTTACCTTGATATCATGAATAATTCATTGATAGACCAAATATCATTAGAAACCTGGAAGCAGTGGATGGCCGTTTCATCTTGGTATGAGACTCAGCAGCCATGCGTCCAGTGCTTTCAGGTTTCTAATGGTGGTTTAACGATGATTCACTCATAAAACAACGATCTTCATAACACTATAATGCAAAATCGAAAAAATGTGCTCACTAGTGACTAGTTTCGTCGGTAAATTCTCAGCGTTCTAGTAAGAAGACGAGACCAGTGGATTTAAACCCTGTCGGCTGTGGGCAGTAACTACCGAAGACAATGGTGGATGAGGTTGCACAAACAATCCTTAGTAATCAGAGTTAGACAATAATATCATTTGGATACCGCGACTCAGTGGTTAAGAGAATATGCGTACAAGCGAGAGAGACCCAAGATTCCCCAAACGGAAAGGTTGTGGATGCACACTGCCACTGATGATTCCCATAGCAAAACCAAACGGTCGTCTAGTGCTTCCAGGTTTTTTAATGATAGTCTAACAATAATTCATTCATGATTACAAACTTATCAACCAGATAATTAGGATGAAACACAATAGTAATGGATGGCATTAACCTGAACACCAATACGATTAAATACACATTTTCTAACAGCAAACAAAATTATCACGGCCTTCTGAAATCCACTAGAGGTGAATGTTCAGAAGGCATGACATCTGCCTTGTTCAGTAAGTAGGTGGTCAATTTTCCATGCATTTAGTAGGATAAATAACTACACATATTTACTGATTTCAGTACAAGTGGTTAGAATTGACTACAATTATGCATATCATATATATATTCAACGTGAACGTAAAAAGACGGTGCCATTAGTTTCAGCGGTTAGGAAAACTGTATTTCTTAGAATATTTATACATATTATATATATATATATATATATATATATATACATTGAATAAATAAACAATTGACATACTAAAACTGCATTGTATATAGTAATAGTAACATAAGTTATTTGTATGAGATGAAATCACGAACATTGAAAACATGAAACAATTGGATGGTCGTCTTGTCATACGACAAAGCTCTCTCTAACAGAGAGCAGCCATCGGACATCAGTGTCGCCTGCGAACATTTCACTTGTAAAACATTCATTGATGTACATGTCAAAATTCAACTGCTTCGCAGTATTCCCCGATCCACTTTCATTACCTTCGCTGAGTAGTTAACTTTTTCATACCCAACACCGCTAAACTCCACAAGATTATGTTAGGTTTAAATTCACATCTCAGGTTATGTGTATGCATTGTTCCATGTTTTCAATGGCTATAAAAACCTAGATCTGTTCGTGACCTATCTCTCTCTCTACAAGTATATATACATATATATATATATATATATATATATATATATATATATATATATGTTTGAAATCATCAATCAATCATTGTTAGACGCGAACGCCAAACCATCGGACCACTGGGCGTTCGCGCACAATACCGAAGGTCCAGGGTTCGAATCCTGTGAAGTGCAGGAGTCGTGGATGCGCACTGCCACTGGTGAGTCCCATACACCAGGACGAAACGGCTGTCTCTCAGTGCTTCCAGGTTTCTAATGGTGGTCTGTCTAACAATGATTGATTGATGATTTCAAATGTGTAAAAACACAAACCTCCAAAACTCCGCCTGAAAAAATATATATACATATATACATGCAAACATTTCACACACACACACACACAGAGACATCTACTTTCATCCATATTATACACAAGATCACTAATTCAGAAGAATGTTTTTTTTTTTACCAAAAAGAAATATATATATATATAGACTACTTATTATTTATAGATATATATGTATGTATATAAATAGGTTGTAACAAGAGAGAGAGAAAATTAGTAGTATATGTATTTACAATGAGATAATGACATGCGATACATACATACATACATACGTACGTAAAAAATGTAGCTGAAAAAACTTGTAATATGCGATCAACAGGTCAATAAAAAGATCAAAACATCAATGATATATATGTATAAATGTATATACTCATGGGAAAAATATTTGTCTGACTGAAATCAACAAGTTCTCCTGGTTAAAAACCACAATCTATGTAGGAATAATAATAATAATAGTCGCAGTACTACTACTCATCAATGATTGATGAGTAAGCAATAGAAGATAGAAGCAAGTGGTGTAGAAAAGAGAGAAGAGTGCAAATCAATGCCGGAACCGAGGAAGAGAGAAAGCGCGCGCGCGCGCGCGCACACCCACACGCACGTGCACGCACACACAAATCAATAACACCAATATGATGGATGACCTTGTCGTATACATGGGAGGAAGATAAAATGAGGGACTGGAAAAATAAAAACAAGAGTAGAAATCCTAATCAGGTTTTCTTGTTTAGGCGTTGATTATAGTTATACACCATGACCTTGATTACATACACACACAACATCAGCAGCAGCAGCAGCAACAGTCGTTTTAAGTAGGTATTACATAATAGGCAAAATAATCAGAAAATCATATTACTAGTAATAATCGTAATCAATAATGTGAGAATGTGAAAATCGACTACCAGTATACACTGTAGTCACATCATCATCATACTACTACTCACTGACGGCGACAACGATGAATTACACTCCCGCAGAAAAGAGACAGACGCACAGACACTCAGACACATGTGTACATGCGCACTTATTTTATTGTACAGTAAGTAGGTCTATTAGATTGACAAAAAGTACCAAAAACAATAAATCGATGAGTGAATAGTGTGGGGATGAGAAAAAAAAACTTACACAAACATCATACCAACATGGTTTGTACACACACATATGTAATCTTAACTAATCCAATTCGACACTGTGCTCGGATAAGACAACAATAACAACAAGTACTAATAGTAATAATAATCGTAATAAGATCATTCATGAATCGATGAAATAGTGCGAATTGTATTTTATAAAATTCAGCGCTTCTTACATCGCATCGCGTCGCGACGCATCGCATCTCATTCTCTGGTTGAATTTATTTATATATATCACATGGTGAATTTAAAATCGAAAGAAATAAAACGAGTTGACGTATGTACACACAAACACACACCGACACACACACACACAAAGATCGAATCCGTGTTGAGGTGATAAGAGAGATAGAGAGAATCAATGTTACAATTCTATAAATGTCACTTTGAACAGAGAAAATAGAAAAAACGGAGAGAGAGAGAAAGACAGGACGAAGCGGCGAGGGGGGGGATCGACCGAAACGTAATCGTAATAATAATAATAATAATAATAATCAAAACCCGTCATCTACATACATACATACATACATATGTTTTTATATATCAAGAAGGAGAGATGGACAAAGGTTGAACGCTTCGTTTATGACAGGAACTTCAAGTACCACTCACTCACTGCCTGATGAAGCTATCCATTGATCAAGACGAAAATTTTCTTTTTTTTTTAAAAAAAATGTTTTTTCGTTTTAGAAAAAAAAACAACAAACAAACATGGAAACAGGAATTTTTCGAATAGTACAAAAAGAAAAACAACACGAAAGAGAAAATGACGTAATAATTATTTCTCCTGCATTATTGATTAAATTGAAAAAACGGATTATTACTACTACTAATAATAATGATAGTAATATTTAGTGTATGAGTATACAAAAATTGAACTATACTTTATAGACAGACAACAAGTGAATAATAATACAAGATAGATGGATGGAGTGAGTGAGTGAGTGTGACAAAGACGGACAAACAGAGAATACAACAATCTGTCCAATGAAAGCGAATGGTCCTTGGGGGAAGGGGAGGGGGTTACAAAGAAGAATAAAAGAAAATCAAAATCATCTAGGCATTAATGCAAACTTTCAATGGTAGCTGTTGTAGACGTGGATGTCGATGATGATGATGGCGGCGGTGTTGACGATAACGATGAGGATGATGATACTGATGTTGGTGTGAATCCGAAACGTGGACGTTTAGCATTCGGTGGATTACTACTATTACTATTACAAGTAGTATTGAATACGACAACATTTGGTGATGTAGAAGGATTTGTTTGGAAACGATCAATAATTTGATGATTTCTTTTACAACTACTAATAGTAATATTACTATTATTATTATTATTACTGCTGCCAATCATATTATTGTTATTATTCCAAGGAGTTGTGAATTCAATACATTTTTGTGATGAATCAATGAATGTTGCAGATGGAGAAACTGCTGCTGCTGCCATCGAAGTGAATTGATCACGTTGATAGATAATATGACCACTCTGAAACAAAATAGAAATGTGACATAACTCAACTATGAACAAAACAAGAATATTAAGGTAAATGGAAATTTTGAATAAAAACTGAGACACACAACCTTAAAATTCAACGACCAGTTTGAATGAAATCGAACCCTGAGTCAGACAGACAGATATAACACAGAACTTTGTACGCATGTAGATTAGTTCAGGTTGTCAACTGTCAGTTCAATACAACAGTGATAGCGATAGTAGAAGTATTAGCAGTAATGGAGAAGATAAGGGTATAATTCAGTGAGATAAAATAAGAAAGAAAAAGATAGAGATGATGAGGAATTCAGAAAGTTAGAATTTGAGAATGTATGTATGCACCTGAGCTATTACATACGATTTTGAGCCATGTTGTTCAAGGTCTCTAATCATTGGTGACTTTCGTCTCGCAGACCCCAACCAGGTAGTCTAAATCTATCAACATGACTTGTCAGTGACTTCATGAATTAGTGCTATGTTTTGGTTTGGCCGCCTATAGCTTTCTTCCAACCTACTCCTACACCACAAAACATAGCTCGTCCAGGCATTTGGTGATTGGGTGCATACGTACGACATGTCCCAACCATCTCAACTAATAAAGTTTCACTACTTCATCAAATATTCGACCATCCTTACCTAGTACTCATTTCCTAACAACAGCTATGTCTACTCGATTGTACTAGAATACTAGCAAACTACGAAGGTCCACTATTCTTATTGGCTATGTTTCACACCCGTATAGTAGGACAGAGAGAACTACTTCACAGTGGACTCGTCCTTTGATCTTGCCTACACCATAAGTGACGCCAGTTAGCAAAAGCCAACTGAGTCTTCTGCATTTATACTGAGAATTATTGGTCAATTCCTATTGGTTAGTTCCTATTGGTCAATCTTATGGTCGTCCTAGATAGCAGTGTCGCACGCTCCAATGTTGTTTCTCATTGGTTGTCCTGACTATCAATGTCACTTCAAATGTTGCTGCCTATTGGTCGTCTTAACTGTCAATGTCACAGACTTCGTTACTGTTTTCTATTAGACCAAAATGTATAAATACGCATTATCTGTAACGTTTTATGGGATTTTTAGAATGCTGTTGAGAGATAAACATTTAGAATGTGGATTTACTAAAAATTCATGTTTTGGATAAATTGCGTTAAATTCTTGTCAAATATCTTATTTCTTGAAATGAACTGTACCTAGGTTTGGGTGGACTGAATTACTGAAGTGTTAATAAACATCGCTAATCGGTCTATCCCCAAGGTAAGAGAGAGATCCCTGCTCAATCATGACTTTATATTGCATATCACACAATCCGTCCTTTTGGTGATTATCCCAGGTGGACACTAAATGCACTGTGGACAATAACCTCTTGCATATATCTTGTCTCCAGTAACTGGAACGGACAAGAGCTAAGGCTACTAAGAGATTAAAACACCGTAATCCGTTCCCATACTTCAGTTAATTAGACATTCTGCTGGTGACAATCCTCTAGATGTCTCTGGATACTGCATTACTGCATCAAAAGATATTCGAATGGGCTATAAACAAAGGATCGAAAGTTGATAATTCATTCTGTTCGCTGTTATAACAATAAAACAGAAGGAACACAATATAACACAATGTTAACGAATTCGGCCTCATCAAAAAAACATGCTATTCTATGACGAATTTATGACCAATTAAGTCTCACTATTACGATTAGAGCTAAAAAACTAAAATACAACATTAACTACTTACAAAGTATAAGTAGTATATATAGTTATAAATCACTGTCAAACATACTGACAAAGAAATTCAGTTCTAGAATTAGAAATTTACTCAAAAAGCTTATTTTATTAGCATATAAAGATTTGTAAACTTGTTTTCAAAATCTAAAAATTATTTATCGTATAAATTCTATAAGTTATAAATTCGTGACATGAAAAAAGCTAATTTCGAAAGAAAAGAGGATGGTCACAAGTATTAAGTTTACGGACAACCAAATGACCTGGTACATTCGAGAGTGGAGAATGTCCTCTCTCCCTCTGCGAATCGCCACACGTACACAGCCACTACCAAAGAAACTCATTACCTCCTCATGACGAGCATTTTGAATACGAAATTAGGCAGGACAGAAACCGAATATCCTGCGTATAAAACCAGGTTGGTGAGGTACAGAGTATCCAACTAAGGGAGTTTCTAAACCTCAATTCCAAATCAATGATACACATGAATTGCAGGATTTTGATGGAATGAATGGCATATGAAGTTATTGTCACTTGTCAGCTACAATGAGATTGCATCTTCTAATGTTGTTCTATTGTTTTATCAGTCAGTCAGTCAATTACAACGTAGAACTTCGTACGTAAGTACATCAATTCACGTTGCATAACATATTAGCACATTGAGATGGAATTGTCAATTCAAATCCCCGAAGTGGTAGAGATAGTAGAAGTATTACTGGTAATTGAGAAGATGAAGATTTGAAGATATTATTCAAGAAGTAAATTTCAGTGAGATAAGTTTAGAAAGACAAAGATAGAAGTGTTGATCAATCCAGAAGATTAGGATTTAAGAGAACACAAAGAGTGGATGCACCTGCACCATTGCAAACTATTTTCAGCCAAGTCATTAGAGGTCTCTAACCATCGATGACTTTCGTCTCGCGGACCACAACCAGGTAGCCTTTATCTACCAACAGTCCAAGTTCATGGATTTATGTCATGTTTCGGTCGATTTCAATACTTCATCAATTGATCTGCCATCCTTACCTAATACTCGTTTCCTAATGGCAGCATTGCTTACTCGGGTGTCCCAGGATACAGGAACAATGCTTCGCAGACATCTATGATCGAATACTAGAAACCTACGAATGTACTCTACTCTTAACGGCAATGGTTCGCATTTGTATAGTAGGACGGAGCGAACTGCTTCACAGTACACTCGTCCTTTGGTTAGCGAGCAGATATATCACCTGCGCCATAAGTGACGCAAGTTGGCGAAACCCGATCGAGCCTTCTGTATCAGAGCTGAGACTTCGTCACAAAGCAGGCCAACGGCACTGATGAGACTCCCAAGATAAGTGAAGCGATCAACACACTCGACTACTTCACTCCCTATCACTAGTTCAGGTGCCGACGCAACCCAATCCTGGAGCAACATTTTGCATTTCGAGGGGGAAAACCGCATACCGAACGTGCTTGCATTGTTGATTAGGGTGGTCAGAAGACTGCATTTTTTTAGCGTCTTCGCCAAGTAGGACTATGTCATCGGCATATTCTAAGTCGATTAGCGAACCTCCTGGTAAAAGGTCTCCTCCTGAAAATTCGGACGAGGATAAGGGAGTGGACATCCCTGATGGACACCACTTGAAGTAAAGAATTCCGGTGACAGTTCACCATAAGCTCTCACTCGACCAGCTTGTATAAGGGAAAGCCTTGGGAGAGTCACAAAAGTAGCACACTAAAATAACATTTCAACCAATCAGAGCCAAGGCTTTTCCTGAGGAACTCCGAAGGTTAGAATTTTAGAGAACAAAGAACACAAAGAATGGTTGCACCTGCGCCATTGCAAACGATTTTAAGCCATATCATTCAATGTCTCTAACCATCATCTCGCGGACCCCAACCAGGTAACCTACACCGACCAACATGACTCAGTCGACTTGTCAGTGACTTCATGAATTTCTGCCATGTTTTGGATCTGACCGCCCACAGCTTTCTTCCAACCTATTCCTGCATCGCAAAACACAGCTCGATTAGGCAGCGCATACATATAACACATATCCCAAATATTTATAAAAAAATGTACTCTCTCTACTACTACTACTACTACTACTGTGGTGCGCGCTACTTATAAGTAGTATATGACGCGAGTAAAAAACGTAATGTCTGGCAGCAGAAGATGAGGGAAGATCAAGAAAGTAAGAAGAGCGGGGAACACAATGGAATTTGTATGAAATAGCATGAATAGTGAAATAAATGTCAGACAATAGATTGATGATGGATTGAAGATTTGCAAATTAACCGTTTACGATATTGTTTTCCTATTTTACTGAGTAACTCTGTAATTTTCGTTAAATACAATTCGGTTGCCCTTACCACCTATGTTCTCCTTCACTACACTACTAGTACATTCCCTGTTTTGAGATTTATAGAAAAATGATCAAAGCACAGAAAAGCTTCAATGAAACAACAATAACCTCAACAACAAAACAGAAACAAAGATATATTTACCTCTGAATATGCTGTTAATCTATTATTGTTATTATTACTATTACTCAATGATTCATCACTGATGATAGTATATAAACCAGATGAAGTAGTATTATGTAAATCATTATGAGTATTACTAATATGAGTAGTATTAGTATTAGTGTCAGTAGTAGAACGAGGTAAATTAACAACTGAAAATTCATCAGCGGCAGTTAACATTGTCGACTTTTTATAATGATGATGAATAAGAGGTGGTGGTGGTGGTGGAGGTGGATGGTTTAATTTCAATGTATCGGCTGTGGCAGTAGCCGCGGCAGCCGCAGTAACATTTTGATAATCAGCATAGAAATTAATTTGATCATGATAATTATCTGAATCTAAATCCACTTCAAGTATTGATCCTAAACGTGATGCATGATGCAATAATTGACTTGATAGTGAGGAGGATGATGGCGATGATGTTGATGTTGATGATGATGAGATCATATTGGCTGGTGTCAATGTAGGCGGATTTGGAATTGACTAGAGAAAAAAGGGAATAAGGAAAAATCCATTATCATATCAGGGCATAAGATTTGTTTTAATTCAGTCGGGTGATGATGACAATATACAGTTGTGGGAAAATTACAACATGAATAGATAGAGTGATAGTTGAACTTGTAACTTGTATATAATAACACACCAAATATTGAACTACAACTACAATGACTGGTTTAAAAGTAACTTATCCACAATGAGAATTGATGAGACATCTATCTAACGCTCAGTTGATTAGTTAAATTAAATACATTGCTTACTTTACTTACATACGCCTGTCACGCCCACCCACCCAAATGGAGCATAGACTGCCGACTAGTATTCTCCAACCTACTTTCTTCCCATCCATTAGCCCAATTTCTCGGCGTAATGTGTTTGTGGGCCATCCCCATTTCCTTTGATCGTGAAGGTTCCAAATGACGGCTTGTCTTGTGACGCAGTTAGGTGCTTTTCGTAGTGTGTATCCTATCCACCAACTTCAGCGCTACTTTCGGATTTCTTCCTCAGCTGGAATCTGGTTTATTCTCTCCCACAGTAGATTGTTGCTGGTGGTGTCTGGCCAACAGATCCGAAGTGTTTTGCGAAGACAACTGTTCATATATACTTGTATCTTCTGGATGATGGCTTTGGTAGTTCTCCAGGTTTCCGCTCGATACAGTAGAACTGTCTTGACATCTGTATTGAAAATCCTGATTTTGGTTTTGGTTGAAAGTTGTTTGGAGTTCCAGATGTTGTTCAATTGTAGAAATGCAGCTCTTGCTTCGCCGATCCGCGCCCCTCACATCTGCATCACATCCACCTTGATTGTCGATGATGCTGCCAAGATATGTAAAGGTGTTAACGTCCTCCAAGGCATCTTCATCAAGAGTGATTTGGTTGGCGCATGTCGAGTCGCATTGGAGAATCTTTCTTCTCCCTTTGTGTATGTTGAGATCTGCTGCTGAGGTTGCTGCCTCATTGGTCGTCTTCTCTTGCGTTTGTTATTGCGTGAGCGACAGAAGAGCAAAATCATCTGCGAAGTTCAAATCGTCCAGCTGCATTCTGGCTGCCCATTGGACACCGTGCACAGACTGGAGACCCTCTGTCGGTCCAAAGCGCGGATAAAGAAGGAAGTTTAGGCATAGGGGTTGGCGACCCCCTCCCACAAAAAAACTAACTCGCTAAAAAAAAGCGCTAACCAGAAAAACATAATTTAAATCAGTTGAACTCTGGTTAAAAACATAAGCACCAAATGTCCTCCTATAAATACAGATACAATAGCATACTACTTGTCAGTGTCGGTAATCAATCACATTTTAATAACCTACAAAAAACCTACATATCAGGTTTTTTTCCATGGCATTCACACACTCAGTCGGAATATCCAGTACAGTGTAGATTTTAGATTGGCTTAGATGTTTTGTTCATTCACTTACTACTTTTAGAAAAAATTTCAAGTCATGCAATGTAAGTTTAATTACGATAAATAGAAACAACAATTAGAAATACAAATAATATGCATTATAGAGTTATGGAGATTATTGATTTTTATTGAAATTATAAATCGATCATAGTTAGACTACCATTAGAAGCCTAGAAGTACTGGATGGTCACCTCATTCCAGTATAGGACTCTTCAATAAGTGCGTATTCATGACTCGTGCTCGAGCGAATCAAATCCAGCACTTTTGGGTTTCTCGAGCAAACAATTAAACTCTAGACCACTGAGCTGGTATCTAATAGTATTAATGTCTAACTTTATTCAGTCCTTGATATTTCACAACCTTACCCATTATTATCGGTAGGGTAACTAACTACCTACACACCGGACAGGGTTGAACTTCATTGGTCACTTTTAACAATCATCAATTCATGATTTCAAGAAAATTGGACAATCTTAGCAAACTTATGATAAAAATCATAAAGTGTGATCACTATTAACTAGCTTCGTAAGGGAATTCTTGGAGTTTTAGTGAGAAAACGTGACCAGTGGAGTTCAATCCTGTCGGGTGTCAGGTAGTTAGTTGTTACCATTCGAAGACATTGCGTAAGATTGAGCAATACTTTGAAATGTTTAAGGTTACATATTACCACTGTTCAATGCATGCTGAGTGGTCCAGAGGTGAAGTGTTCGCTAGCCAGACTGATGATCGTGGTTTCGATTCGCGCAAGAGGAGATAGTGGATGTGAATCGTTGATAAGTTCCATACCTCCATCTTTCTAATGATGGTCTAACAATCGATCGATTTATCAATTCAATGAAATAATACTCAGATTGACAATTCAATTACTATTGTAACGCCTGCTTAAATAATTCCCAGCTAAATCCTATTGCTTAGTATTCTCTGACCACTCAATACACTGGACAAGTTCCAAAGAATCAAAAAACACAGTGGAACAGGAAAAAGATTTTATTCCAAATAGCAAGGTTAAATGGAAATCCGAAGCCGAAGGCGAAGGCAAAAATAGATACAACGTTAGTTTCTTCAATGCATTTACATGAGAAGCTTCTGCACAGTAATTCACGTGATCGACTGGATTAGATTTAACCAATCAGAGTACAGCTAACAATACGAGAATTTCCTATCCTGATTGGATAGGAAATTAACCAATCAGCGTGCAGCAACGTAGTCATGCTTTAAATTCCACCTATGTCCCACTAACAATTACACTCTTTACTTCGAAGTCATAAAAAACGTTAAAACATGTTCAGACACAATTGCCCATAAATAAAATAAAACCTGAGTACCACTCTCTCAATGATGATAAACTTATAGTCGCTGCTCTTAAAAAAAAGAGACTATTCTCAGTTGTTTTAAATTTTAAAAACACACATACAACAAATGAAACTCCGACGAATTTGTACAAATTCAAATGTGAAATTATTAGATATCTAGTATTACAAAAAAATGTGGAACCTATTTTAACTGCAAATTAAGTGAATTGTATTCTTTTCAACAACACCACAACAACAACTAAAAAAACAATAACTTTATTTGAAAAAGTTTATTAATTTATGGTAAAAAACATTCTTGGAATTCCTTAATCAATTGAAATTCATTATATACTGCAATCACTGCACTATCGCCTGTTGTAAATAAGTAGTTACTTTTTGTACACTGAAATCAATTAACCATTGTTAGACCAGCCATCATTAAAAACCCTGGAAGCACTGAAAGACGGAGGTTTCGTCCTCTCATATGGGACAACTCATCAGTGGTAGTGTGCATTCAAGATTCCTGCTGCTATTTGCAGAATTCGAACCTAGAAGCTTCGGTGTGGCGCGTGATCAGCATTCAACGGTGTTAGTGTGCCTAACTCAGTGAAAACAACCGATAAATTATTTTTTTTTACTCACCTCTCATTATAATAAATCTCAAGATAAATAATATCAGTTTGTATGATAATCCGATCTCATTTTTCGTCATAAACATTCAGTTTTTGTCATTATAAGTTGGTTAAGATTGCTGATTTACAATTGAAATTATGAATCCATCAATGTTAGATCACAATTTATATAACCATGGAAGTTTTCGATGGCTGTAACATCCTAATATGAGACTCGTCAGTAGTGATCATCCATAATATCCCTCCCTCCCTACACAGCAATCGACTTCGAGCATTTAGGTCTTGGCAGTTGAACAATAAGCCGGTGGCATCTAATGATTTGAATGTCTAACTTCAGTCAGTCCACGATGACATATCGTAACTTCATAGTTAGTACAATGATTCCATACAAGCGATCTGAAATCAACCAATCAATCATTGTTAGACCAGCCACCATTAGAAACCTGGAAGCACTGTAAGACGAACGTTTCGTTCTCTGGTATGGGACAACTCATCAGTGGAAGTGCGCATCCACGACTCCTGCTGCTACTCGCAGAATTCGAACCCAGGACCTTCGTTCTTGAGTGCTGGTCGACATGAAACTGTGTTAATGTCTCAATCTGATTAATCTAGAGATTTTGCGCGACCTCATCCATTAGTCTTTGGTAGTTACTGAAAACTGCCTAGACAGGGTTGAACTTGTAGTACACTTGCGAGCGAATGCGCGAAAGAATGAACGAAGCGGCGAATAAAAAGAATGAAGCGACGTGAATTGGAGAAGGCTGTTGAGCCAACTCCCAGGATTAAAATGCTAACGAATCGGCGAAGGAAGCGATGTGGTGGAGAAGGCCAGTGAGCCAACTCAAAGAGATAGAGCATGACTAAGAATATATAGTCAGACAAATATAAGACAGACATGCGACAAGCGAAATAGACACACATGAATAAAAGCGATGAGTAGTTGACAAGATCAAATGACAAGTGGGACAGGTCACATGAGCTCATACAAACCAGACAAATAATAAGAACGAATGGTACATATAAATTGTTGCTGCGCAAAGGGCTTGGTTAAATAAATTAATCGAAAGGGCTTAACCAAATTAAATGTAAGCGAACTGAATTATATATGTGGAGGCACTACAACCTCCACTGATCACATCTCACTAGAACTTTGAGAATTTCTTCATGTAGCTCTAGTCACTTTTGAGAGCACATTGTACAATTTTTCAATTAATTAATAATTAACAGACAATCTGTTAGTGGGACATAGATGGAATTAAAGCATGACTACGTCAGCTGCGCGTTGATTGGCTAATTTCCTACCCAATCAGAGTCTGATCGATTCTTGAAAAACAGGGTAGAAAGTTTCGTATTGTTAGCTCCACTCTGATTGGCTAAATCTAATCCAGTCGATCACGTGAATTTCTATCCAGAAGCTTCTCACGTAAATGCTACAAAGAAACTAACGTTGTATCTATTTTCGGCCTTCCCCATCGCCTTGGGCTTCTTATTTCCATCTAACCTTGCTATTTGGAATATAATCTTTTTCCTGTTCCACCATGTTTTTTGATTCTTTGGAACTTGTCCAGTGTATTGTGTGGTCAGAGAATACTAAGCAATAGGAATTAGCCGGGAATTATTCAAACAAGCGTTACAACACAATCTATAGCAGAATGTGTTGTAGGAGGTGCAGTACCATTATGCAAGAGTAATAATAGTAATAATAATAATAATAATAATAACAATCTGTTATCAATTATTATATAACTGAATAAAGACTGGTCGGTCATATTAAGGTCATACTAATCCTAACACATGTGTCTATATGTCCATAACTAAAATAAATGAAATAATTTATCAAAGATAAACCCGACTGTAGCTGCTAGCTTGATATTTGATGGTGTCGGGCTAACCTATCGTGTAATGACCCGATTGAGTTATATTGGCTGCACAACACATGTTCCTGAAGGTTCTACCATGCCAGGCAGGTCGAATGGAGAATGATAAGACTAAAAGTAGCTACTCAAGGTTTGAGGAGTGTGAAAGCAGTAAGATGTTTCCCTCGGACAACCAGCATCTGCAGCAATGCTGCCTTCTCACAAGGAAGGAAGGATGGGGTTAGAAAAGGTCGATCCTAAAAATGCCACACCTCACCCTACCTCATTGATTTCCGTCTCCGGGCGTAAGGGTGTAGTGCCTCCACATAAACTTAAGTTTGCTCATATTGAATTTGATTACGCCTTTAGATTAACTTAGGTAACCAAGCTATTCGTATAGCACCAACCCATATGTACCATTGGTATTTTATTAATGTGTGGTTTGTATGAGCTTGTACGACTGAGCATTGCTTACGCCTACGCGCTTACTCATCCTTCCCGCTTTAATGTTAATCTCTTAATACCCCTATGAACTCACATGACTTGTCTCGCTTACCTTTGACTTTGTCAGTCATTCGTCGCTTTTATTCATGTGTGTGCATGCCTATTTCGCTTGTCAAATATCTGTCTTATTTTTGTCTGACTATATATTCTTAGTCATGCTCTATCTCTAAGGAGTTGGCTCAAAAGCCTTCTCCAGTTCACATCGCTACATTCGTTTTATGCACTACTTCTCCGCTTCGCTTTGTGGTTCGTCCCGAAAAAACGTATTCATCACTACGAGTTCATGTTATGATTTATAAACCGTCAGACGCTAGTTAGTAACGATTATCTGAACGAGTTAATTACCAAGCTTAAGAACACGCAGTAAATCGACACACTACAAGGGCTTTTAAACAAGAGTGGAGCTAATACTTTAAATACTACCAATAAAAAGACCGTGCGTGACCTGCCTCAAGTAGTTGTACCTTGAGCTTTGTGGTCACACTCTCAGGTCTTTAATACTAATCCACTAATCTACCTTCCTTTTCAGGTTCTTCAAGAAACACCCTTCCACGGTGTCGGCAGCCGGGAACTGACATCCTCCCTTATACCCGGTAACAGCACTGAATGAAACCAATATGTGTATAATACTATCAATTATATTATACAGGTTAGCGTTATAAATCAATCATCATCGAGCAAGTGTATACATACACACACACACGCACACAACGGATATATCTCTTCTCTAACAATATAATCAGTACAAATGAACGCAATTGTTTAAAAAAAATTTCATCTTTGGGAAAAAAAGGCAGAAACATACTGTTATTTCATGAATATTTCGTATCATTTGACTAGATTCTTGATTATAAACTGCATTGTCCACAATATTGGCATTAGAGTAACCAGGTGTATTATTATTATTATTAGATAAGCCAATAATACGAAATTGACGACCTGGAGGGAATGTAGTTGTCATTGAAGAAGCATTTGAATAATTATTATTACCAGATAAAATTGGTTGTGTACTACTATTATTATTATTAGTAGTAGTATTATTGAACGGTACAGTTGATCCAATGCGTATAGATGAAGTAGGTGTGAATGTTTTACGTGCAACAACACCTGAATAAGGGGGAAATGTGTCAACAAAAAATAAAAAAAAACAGAAGTGATCAATGATCAATAGGAAATTTTGAAGAGAGACACACACACACACACAAAAAAACATGTTTATAAGACTAAATGACAAGCCAGGTGGTTAGTCAGTCAGATAGAACGTAGAACTTCGTACGTACATCAGTTCAAGTTGCCATACCACAGTCAGTCAGTCAGTCAGATGCAACGTAGAACTTCGTACGTAAGTATATCAGTTCATGTTGCCATACCACATTAGTACACTGAGATATAATTGTCAATTCAAATCCAATAGTAGAAGAGGTAGTAAAGGTATTAAAAGATATCCAAGAAATATGATTCAGTGAGAAAAGTTTAAAAAGTCAAAACTAGAAGTGTTGATGAATCCAGAGGATTAGGATTTGAGAGAACACAAAGAATAAATGCACCGGCGCCATTGCAAACGATTTTGAGCCATGTCATTCAAGGTCTCTAACCGTCGATTATCTCGCGGACCCCAACCAGGTAGTCGACAACAACTATATGGCTTAGTCCACTCGTCAATGACTTCATGGATTTCTGCCATGTTTTGGTTTGGCCGCCCCTAACTTTCTTCCAACCTACTCCTACATCACGAAACATAGCTGGACGATGTAGTCGTGTGTAAGGTATACGTAGCAAATGTCTCAACCACCTCAACTGATGAAGTTTCATTACTTCATCTATTGATCTGCCATTCTTACCTAGCACACGATTCCTAATAACAGCGTTGCTCACTCGGGTGTCCCACGATATACGAGCAATGGTTCGAAGACACCTATGGTCGAAAACCAGTAACCTACGAATATCTTCTACTCTCTGCCATACCACAACATTAACACGCAGAGACGCAATTGTCAGTTCGAATCCCATAGCAGTAGTAGTAAAGGTAATAGAAGCATGATGAGAAGTAATTGGCGAGATTAGGGTTTGAAGAAATTATTCCAGAAATATAATCCAGTGAAATAAATTTAGATAAAAGATAAAGGTAATGACTAGGATTTGAGAGAATGCAAAGAGTGGATTCACCAGCATCACTGTAAATGGCTTTGAGCCATGTCATATTCTAACTATCCGTTACCATTGTCTTGCGGACCCCAACCAGTTAGTCTACACCTACTAACATGACTCAGTTCACTTGTCAGTGACAGTCTTCATGGATGTGCCATGTTTTGGTATGGCCGCCTACCTGGCACACGTATAACATGTCCCAATCATCTCAACTGATGAGGTTTCACTACTTCGTCCATTGATCTGCCATCCTTACCCAGTACTCGTTTCCTTACAACAGCATTGCTTACTTCATGGTCCGACGATATAAGAGCAATGCTTCGAAGATGACTATGGTCGAAAACCGGTAACCTACGAATATTTTCTACTCTGCCTGGCCATGTTTCACTGCCATAAAGTAGTACGGAGCGAGCAACTGAACAATAGACTCGCCTACGCCATAAGAGATGTCCGACAGTTGTGGGTAGACGGCAGGAAACCTTTGACTATGATTTAGAGCTCGTTGACATTCGTCATTCGTACAAATAGCTCAGTAGTAACATCTCAAACTGTGAAGCTGGTTTAACACAGGTTCAAATCCACCAGGAAGAATAAAGCCCTTTCCCCTCCTCAAGATTACAGCAATGCCTCGAAAAAAATACATAGTTTTGTGAGAGTTTCACCCGCCACCTCAATAAATTACCTCCAATCACCTCACAGCCTCAATACAGTAGAGGCGAAGCCAAGACACTTAGACTAGCAGTAATTAACAGAACTTAAAGCCAAGACACATGATACATATTTTAGATATAACGCTCCTCAATCCAACATTTAATGAATAAGTGTGAACAGGCGGCTTCATCTTGTTTTTTTTTCTACTTGCTTAGGGCTTTAACACTTGGAGATCGATGTAAGGCAAGGTTGCTTACCCTCACAGCCTTTCTCTTACTCCTGGTGATCAACTGGATACAGAGGACGTCAACATCTCAGGGGAAACATGAAATACACTGAACAGTTCGGACGCAGCTGGACGATCTGGACTTCGCAGATGATCTGGCTCTTCTATCCAGCACACGCAACAACAAATACAACATAAGACGACCAGTATAGCATCAGCAGGTTTCAACATACAAAAAGGAAAAGCAAGATTCTCTGATACAATACAACATGCGCAGGCCAAATCACACTTGGTGGACATACCATGGAGAACGTAAAAACCTTCACATATCTGGGCAGCATCATCAATGAGCAAAGTGGATCTGATGAAGATATGAAGGAGCGCGAATCGGCAAAGCAAGGGCTGCAATTTTACAATCGAACAACATCTGGAACTCAAAACAATCATCAACCAACACCGAAATCACAATTTTCGAAACAAATGTCAAGACAGTTCTATTACTGTATGGGGCGGATAGTTGAAAAAACTACCAAAGCCATCATCAACAAGATACAAATCTTCATTTAGAGTTGACTACGCAAAATACTGAGGATCCGTCGGTCAGACATCATCAGCAACAATCTACTATGAGAAAGAATAAACCAGATTGCAGCTGAGGAGGGAATCAGGAAGAAGCACTAAAGTTGATCGATAGGACACACATTGAAGAAAGCACCCAAATCCATCACAAGACAAGCCCTCATTTAGAACCCTCAAGGTTAAAGGAAAAGAGGAAGGCCCACAAACACATTACGTCGAGAAATGGATACACACATAAGAAGAATCAACGAAAATTGAACAGAACTTGAGAGGAGGAGGGGCTCAGTACAAAGTAAGTTGGAGAATATTGGTCAGCAGCCTATGCTCCATTGGGGCGGGGGGGGGTTAACAGGCGTAAGTAAGCAAGCAAGTAACTAAAAGTAACCTTTAGCACTACCAATCTATCCTCACACAATTTACAATAACTGTTGAATAGGAGTGAAAAAATGTGGAAAGAAAGAAAAGCTTTTAATAAAGACAATAATCATTTTTTTTAAAAATAATAGCACTGAATTTGATAATAAAAAATGTAATCATCTACCTTTATGCAAAACAATAACATTATTCCCAGAAATCGATGATGGGAATTGTACAACAGAACTTGATGGGATCAATGTATTTTGTGGCAGCAATGAAGTACGATATGATTGATCAGTATGATTATTAGTATTACTAGTAATATTATGATGATTAGCGATCGGTAAATGATCTGTTGTAATATTGATCATTGAACCAGAAGAAAATATATTCGTGGCTAAAGAAGTGGCTGGTATAGTGGTAGCTTTTAAAATTTTTGGATTTTGTAATTGTGTTAATGAGGCAAATTGTTTTGACATATCATTAGTAGAAATAATTGATGTGTGAGATTGTGGTGGTGAACGAAAACGTTGAGATGGTGGTGTAGCTTGAGTGGAGATTTAGAAAAAAAACAGAAAACACGTACAGAACACACACATTAAACAATGCAGAAAATAATCGGATATTTCAAAATTCAACAGTCTCACATCCAAGGATCGTTAAACAAGACTATTGAGGATATCCATTGCAATTAACATTTCCGGTCAGTGGATAAGTGACACGCGACTGACTCCTTCAGACAGCATCAGTGTAGGGTTCGTCACTAGGTACGCTTGAAGCTATTATGAGTTCAGCGTAGTCGATAAAAGAGAACGAGACAATGAACCAGTGTCCAGGTAGGCTACCTTGAATCCCAAGCTGTAAAACAGAAGTCTTGGTAAGCGTAGAAAGTATATTCTACAAAACCCAGCAAGCACAATACAATCAAGCACACACAACTCTCGTTTATTTATACATCATAGAAACGTCCTTGGGACAGTTATGAAAATAGCATACTAAAATACACAGCAGCCAATCACAGCCATGGATTTTCCTGGTGGGAAATGAAATCTCAAGGTCAACCGATCAGCCCATGCTGGCAAACGTGAAATCCAAAATAAGGCATTTAACAAGCGAGTTTTGGGGATCTAACATCCCCAACAATCAGTTTCCTTAAAATTATAGATACACACCTTACTGGCCAGTGCCTCCTACTAGAACACGACACTTAGGTCGATAGTCGCCTATTGACTACCTTCAACCACTTGTCCTACAATTCAATCTCACGTTCAATAACTCCTCATCAAATGACAAACTTTAAAGTATAAAAAGAGATGTCATTATTTCCAGTTCTGTGAAAAAAGCCTACTACTACTATGATCGGTATTATGTCGTTGTTCGTTCGTACAATCTAACTAACAATATTTATAAATAAGAAATATTTTATTATCAATGAGTGGTTGGCTGGTTGAGTGGTCTAGAGGTTAGGCGCCGAGATCCTGGGTTCGAATTCTGCGAGTTGCAAGGGTCGTGGATGACATTTAGACAATCAGTTATAGCGTAGAACTTCGTACGCACGTACATAAGTTCAGACTGCCATACCATATTAGCACAGAGATACAGTTGTCACTTTAAATCCCATAGTAGTAAAGGTAGTAGCAGTACTAGCAGCCATCGGAGAGATTAGCATTCGAGGGTATGATTCAAGAAGTAGATTCTAGTGAAATAAACTTAAAAAATAAAAAGATAAGGGTGCTGAGGAATTCAGAAGATTAGGATTTGAGAGAACACAAAGAATGAAAGCACTTGCTCCGTTGCCAACCATTTTGAGCAATGTCATTCTTGGTCTTTACCATGGATAACTATCCTCTCATGGGCCCCAACTAGGTAGTCAACACCTACCGATATGACTCAGTTCACTTGTCAGTGACTGCATGGATTTCTACCATGTTTTGGTCTCGCCGCCCCCTAGCTTTCTTCCAACCTACTCCTACACCACAAAACATCGCTCGACGAGGTAGTCGGCGATTAGGCATACCAGGAGGATGAAACGACCGTCTTTCAGTGCTTTTCCAGGTTTCCAATAGTCTGTGGTCTAACAATGATCCAATCAGGATTTCAAGTAAAGTGACTGTGTACACACAAGATTTAAAACACACAGACACATACACAAGACAAAATTTATTCAAAAACTTACTATTATGATTATGAAGACTTTGAACACTTAGAACACTAGGAGTAAATGATTGTTGTTGATGACGTGTAACAACTGCAATGACATTATTATCAAAATTAGATCTATTGATAGATTGATATAATTTATTACTAGGGTAATTTGTTGTGAAATTATTCATATGACTAGATAGATTAGTAGTAGTATTTGTAGTTGTAGTAGTAGTATAAACAGTAGAACATAAACGTGTCATTGTCGGTGTTGTATTTTCACAAAGATACATTGAATTATTAGTTGGATTCAATAGAGAACAACGTTGTGTAGTAGTTGTGAATACTTGCGGATTAGAATCCTGTGTAAAAGGATTTTAAATAAATGAATATAATTAGCACACTGAAAACTTCATAGTATTTAATCATGAAAACATGGAACGACTGGATGACTGTCTCGTTTTACTATGTGCAGTTAGTTATACAAAAGAGACCGTCTATTAAGAAAAATCGCTTGTTAACTTAGAATATAACGATAATATAGTTCTTTCTATTTGGTGAAGACGCTGACAAAATGCAGAGTCTTGTGACTACTCTAAGCAACAATGCAAGCATGTTCGGAATGCGCTTTCATCGCTTCGTAATGCAAAATGTTGCTTCAAGATTGGGTTGCATCGGCACTTGAACTAGGGATAGGCGGGAGGAAGAAGTTGAGCGTGTAGACCGCTTTACTTATCTCAGAAGTCTCATCAGTGCTGATGGCCTGATGTCTGGCGGAATCGCAACGTGGATAACAGAAGCCTCGATTGGTTTTTACCAACTTGCGTCACTTAATGCGTAGGCGAGATATCGGTCTGCTAACCATAGGACGAGTGTAACTCTCATCAGTTCGTTCGATCCTACTTTATGGCTGTGAAACATGGCCAGTCAGAGTAGAAGATATTCGTAGGTTACTGGTTTTCGATCAAAGGTACCCCCGAAGCATTGCTCAAGTATCATGGCACAACGGAGTAAGCAATGCTGTTGTTAGGAAACGGGTGCTAGGTAAGGATGGTAGGTCAACAGATGAAGTGGCGAAACTCCATCAGTTGAGGTATCTGAGACTACTGCTTCATATGCCTAACCACTAACTGCCTCGTCGAGTTATGTTTTGCGATATAGGAATAGCTTGGACGAAAGCTAGGGGCGACCAGACCAAAACTTGGTGGAAATGCATGAAGTCACTTACAACTGGATTGAGCCATGTTAGTAGGTGTTGACTACCTGGTTGGGTAGTATAATTCAATGAATTAAATTCAGAAAGAGAAAGAAAGAGGTGAGGAGGAATCCAGAAGATTAGAATTTCATAGAAAACAAAGAGTGGATGCATTTGCGTCATTGCAAACGATTTTCAACCACGTCGTTTAAGGTATTTAACCATCAGTTTCTTTCGTCTCGCGAACTCCAACCAGGTAGTTGACAACTACCAACATGACTCAGTCCATTTGTCAGTGACTCTTCATGAATTTGTGCCCTGTTTTGGTGTGGCCGCCACTAGCTTTCTTCTAGCTTAGTGCTAGATCACAATATATTGCTCTTCAACGGTATTCGAAACAACAGGATGATACCTTTTGTGTGTTTAGTTAGTTAAGGCAAACTTGCAATCAGAAAATTGACGGCAATAAATGCATATTCCGAATATAATGATACCCTAGTCATTTGATCAGGTGTCTGTTACGTACAAGACCGAAGGTCCTAGGTTGCGGATGCGCACTGCTGATCAAGTCCTATACTAGGACGAAACGGCCAACTTTCAGTGCTTCCAGATTTCTAATGGCGGTCTAACATTGATCATCGTTTCATAAGCTTAATTAAATTGAATATTTAAACTGATGTTACAAAGTGAAAACAATATATTCTAACTATAATCTCCATAATGAATGGAATTAACCCAGCGAACTTATGAATTCAACAAATAAGAATAAATTTTGAAGTTCTCTGGGAATAAATAAACATATATATCAGTAAATAACTACTTGTCATACATGAATATGTTCGAAAAACAAAAATACACTACTCATAAGTAACTTAATGACTAGTCAGTCATAAGTTGTATAATTCACAGTTTAAAGTGGATTCCAAAGTTCTAGCTAATGAAACCTGTTGCCTTATTTGGCATAAGGTTAGAACATTAAAAGCTCCAATATGTAATTTACTACGGGGTTTCAAGAGACCAGGAATAGCGTTTCATGAGTTCAAACCGTTTGCTTCAGCGGCGCGAGGTGACAAACGATCGAAGGAACAGTTGGTTGAGGAGATAAGAGAGTTATTAGAAGATGTAGAAAGGATTTGATTGTGACCGATTGGGTCTCGTGTACTTTTACGGGTATGAGGGTGGATGTTACCTCACAGCTGCCTTCACCGTGGAAGGGTACTAATAGCATAGTAGAAATGCCTAAAAATTTGTCTTTTTTTCTGTACTCAATCAGTAACAAATAGTAAAGTAACCCATTATACAATGTATAGATTCGAATGTATTCAGCATTGAGCAACATAATATTTGTACAATAGTTAATAACTAATGTTCAGTTAGTTGGGAGTGTGAATAGAATGAAGTTCAAAACCTATGACCGTACACATCGGTAACCAGTCAATTGGTTGCAATGCAGAAACTGATACGCATTAATGTAGATTAGTTCAAGTTGACATAGCTCATTAGCGCGCAGAGAAATGAAACTGTCAAGACGAGTCCGAGAGTAATGGAGGTACTAACAGTATTTGACAGTAATAGAAAAAATTAAAGATCGACGATACGATTCAAGGAAATATGAGCAATTAAAAAGTTAAGAACACGAGGCTCTCGGAATACACAAGCAATGTTTTAAAAAAAGCCTATGATCGAATACCAGCAGTCTATGAGTATTCTCTACTCATTATAACCATTTTTCATACCCATAAAGTAGAACGGAGTAAACTGCTGTGCAATAAATAAACTCATCCTTCGTTTGGTATACGAGTATCTCGCCTACTCCACAGGTGACACAAGTTAACAAAAGTCAGTCAAGTATTCTGAATCCGTGTCAAGATCGCACTAGACACCAGGACTGATGAAACTTTCGAGGCAAATGGGGTAGTTGGTACGTCCAAATACTTCATTCCTTACCATTAACTGAGGTGACGATGCAAGCCAATCTCGAAGCAACAACGCAGACGCCAACCATGTAGTCAGCATCTAATAACATAACTCAGATCAATAATCAATGACTTCATGAACTGCTGCTATGTTCCGGTTTGAGACTCCACTCCTCACTACTTTTCATTAAAACCTGGCGAGTACAGTTAGGTGATGGTTGACTACACGTATTATACATCCCCAATCATTCAAATCGATGAAGATTCAGTCATCCTTGTGCAGGGGCCATCGAAAGTTTGTGCTGATGATGTTGTTCAGAAGAACAATGAAAGCTTTACAACCAAAATATCCAGCTCAGAGAACGAAACACCACCACGAAGATTCACAGTCTTCTTTCCAATAAATTTACTATCTATGTTTAAATAGCACGAGTTGAATATTAACATTACTCACCCAATTATTAGTCTAAACAATTAATTAGTCAGTCAAAACGTAGAACTTCGTACGGACGTAGATAAGCACAGGTTGCCATACCACATTAGCACAGAAGGATCCCATTAGGAACTCAAATACCATAATAGTACAGGTAGAAGCAGCGTTAACGGTAATGAAGATTAGGGTTCGAAGAAGGATAGTCCAGTGAAATCAATTTAGAAATAGAAAGATAAAGTCATGAGGAATTTAGAACAAAGAATGGATACACCTGCGCCATTGCCAACAGTTTTGAGCTATATCATTTGAAGTCTCTAATATTCGGTTACTATCATCTCGCAGACCTCAATCAGGTAGTCTATACTTACCAACACAACTCAGTCCACTTATCAGTGACTTCAAGGAATTGTGCCATGTTTTGTTTTGGCCGCCCATAGCTTCCTTCCAGACTACCCTTAAACCACAAAACATAGCCTATCGAGACAGTCGCTGGCTGGGCACATGTAACACACATCCCAACCACCTCAACTGATGAAGTTTCAATACTTCATCTATTGATCTGACATCCTTACCTAATACTCTTTTCCCAATAACAGCATTGCTCACTCGATTGTCCCAGGATGCTCGAGCAATGCTTCGAGGAAACCCAATGGTAGAAAACCAGTAACCTACGAATATCTTCTACTTTGACTGACCATGTTTCACAACCATATAGTAGGAAGGAGTGAACTGTGCAGTACCTCCTTCCTTTAGTTGGTAGATGGACATCTTGCCTACATCATAAATGACGCAAGTTGGTAAAAGCTAGTCTAGCCTTCTGTATCCGTGCCGAGATTTCGTCAGTCACTAGACCTTCAGCACTGATAAGACTCTCAAGTTAAGTGAAGCAGTCAACACGTTCAACTACTTCACTCCTTATCATACTGACTGACTTAAATAACTCATAATAATAATAATAATAATACTAACAAAACAGATGAACTTTAAGAAAAAGGAAACAGAACATTCAAATTCTAACCAATAGGACATCTGGATTTCGATGCATTTGTACGACCAAATGTTGAGATGTATGCGCCGACAACGACGATGATGTCGATGATGGTAACGATGACGACGATGAAGTAAAATTCATCACATTCTGATGTAGAAGAACATTTGCAGGATAATTAGATGAATGTAATAATTTACTATTTGTTGTTACATTAGTTGTCATAGGAATTCGATTAATTTGACTAAGAACCGATTGATAAGGAGGAGTAGAAGATTTTGCATTGACATAGCTGACAGCATCCGATGATAGTGTGATTTGTGTATCAATAGAATTTAAATGATTATTAACTTCTTCCTTATTAGACAACTTATCCAATACACTCATATCATTCATACAATTGACAAGTGAGGCATTTTCTGATTTCAAAGTGGAATATTCACGTGTTACTACTACTGTTGTTGGCATCACTGTGAATTGGTTGGATAACGATTGATGTTTTGCGCTGGGAATTTCAACATGAGCATTGGTAGTAGTAGTAGTAGTAGTGGATACGGCGTTGTCATCATGTTGGCGGCTATCGATCATTTCAAGTAATGACGATGAGGAGGAATTTTTCTCTAATTTTGGCGGCAATATACCACCTCCAGCGTCATCTGAGGCACCTTTCTCCACAACATGACAATCATTATCTTTTAACAACAACGATGGCGGTGATTGCAGCATAGGAGTAGTAGTCAGAGTAGTAGTAGTAGTCGGAGTAGTCGGAGTAATAGTAGTAGCAATCGGAGTAGTAATGGTAGTTTTTGGCTGAAGTAATGATTTAACAAGAGGATTATTATTATTATTAATATTATTATTTTGAGCTTTAACTGGTAAACATTTCTCATCGGATTTCATGTTATTTTGTGAATCATTCAAAGCAGTCGAAGTCATTGTCTCAGATTCATTACGATGTACTACTACTACAACTGATTGATCACATGTTTGATCATTTGTCAATGGTATTGAAGAAGATTTCTTAAAAAAAAGTTTAACAAATGAAAAGAGAACAGTGAAATTTATCAATGATACACGTGGTATTTCATGCGTACATTACTAACTAACTAAGTAATTAACTAGCTTATTGATTCGTAAAAATTTATGATTACTTCTTATGTTGTAGTGAGTTCATTTGGACGTCGGGATCATCATTTGTAGTGGACTGGCGAGAGAATAAGCGACTGAAGTGAATCGTATGGAGCGATGTGGAGAAGGCTAATGAGCCAACTTCACATCGCTCCATACGATTCGCTTCAGTCGCTTATTCGCTCGCCAGTGCACCACAAATGATGATCCCGACGTCGAAATGGACTCACTACAATGTGTTGCCAGTTAATAGGAAATGAACTGCTATGTCTGACTTTTTTTCCCGTACACGCAACAATAAATACAACAGAAGACGACCAGTGTAGTAGCAGCAGCAACAGCAGTAGTAGGTCTGAACATACACAAAGGGAAAAAGCAAAATTCTCCAATACAACCAAATCACAGTTGCTGGAGATACTTTGGACAATGTAAAAGCTTCACATATCTGGGCAGTTTCAGTGGCAAGTAAGTTGTATCAGATGCAGATATGAAGGAGCGGATCGGCAAAGCTAGGAGGGCTGAAGTTCTACAATTGAACAACATCTGAAACTTAAAATAACTATCAACCAACACCAAAATCAGAATTCTCAATACGAATGTCAAAACAGTTCTACTGAATCGGGCGGAAATTTACAAAACCGCCGAATTCATCATCCACAAGATACAAGTATTTATTAACAGTTGTCTACGCAAAATACTGAGGATCCGTTGGCCAGACATCATCAACAACAACCTACTGTGGGAGAGAATAAACAAGATTCCAGTGGGGGAAGAAATTAAGAAGAATCACTGGAGTCAGTGGATAGGATACACATTGAAGAAAGCACCCAATTGAGTCACAGGACAAGCTTTCCATTGAACTCTCAAGGTCAAAGGAAAAGAGGAAGGCTAAGGGACACATTACGCAGAGAAACGGATACACACATGAGAAGAATGAACAAAAATTAAACAGAACTGGAAAGAAAGGCCGAGGACAGAGTACGTTGGAGAACACTGGTCAGTGGCTTATGCTCCATTCAGGGTTACAGGCTTTTATATATATATATATATATCTATATATCTATATATATATATATATCTATATATCTATATATATATATATATATATATAGATATATATATATATATATATAAATTCACATTCAATTGACAAGGGTAATTGTAAATTGGTTCTCAGGAGAATCATACACAGCCCACAAGTTAACACTACACCGTGACGCAAGCACACACTGATACATGACACCCTAGTGGACTTGTTAGTGTGGGACAGGACTAATAGTACTTATTTATATTGGTATAATTGAAACTTCTGTCATCTTACCTTTTCAACTGACTGTTGTTTATTAACATCAATTTTTCCATGTAATTTTGATAAATTTATAAGAGTTTCAGAAAATGTTGCTGTTTCCGATGGATAAGGTAATCGAGAATTACGAATCAATTGTTCAAATGAAGCTTTATTAGCTTGTGATATAAAAATAGTTTCAGGACTTGGACGTTGAAAAATTGGTGAAATACGTTTACCTTCCAGGATCCATTCTTCATCAACTTCTTTACCGCATACACTTGAAAAGGCAACAGAAAAAAAAAACGAGAATCAATGTATAATATTTTGATGATTGTCGTTGTGAACTCATCACGCACTGCGTAAGAGCTGATGTACGTAGAGCGATGTTCAAATCTGTAGCCTAATGAATGAAAGTCTAACCCTCCTCGAAAACAATGAAGTCACTACTACACTTTTATTTAATAACTTATCGACTAGGTGGGTGCAGATCCAAGTACTTAGTTTTGAGACATACTTTACAAGAGACTTATGTTACGCATTCACGTAAACATGTCATTTTGACACGCTTGAACTATTACAAGTTCACCTTAGTCGGAAAACGAGAGCGAGGATCGAGGATCCGGCGACGTGACATGCTACTCTAATCCGAGTGTCCCAACCCCCATATTGAGTAAAAGTAAGAAGACTTGATATGAGGTAGAACCTGTATTCTACAAGCATCCAGAAAGTACGAGGTCCGAGTCCATAAGAAGACACGGATCCCGGACTGCGGATCCGGGCCGGGTCATAAAACGTTACACATAATGCGTATTTATACATTTAGGTCGAATAGGAAACAGCATCAAAGTCTGTGACATTGACAGTTAAGACGACCAATAAGAAACAACATTGATAGCTAGGACGACCATAATATTAACCAATAGGAATCGACCAATAGAATTTAAGTTTACAAAATGATTCTTCGCAGGATATTTGGTGACTATCCTAATACTTATCCTAATACGAATCGGTTCTCTACACTAAGGTGAATAATGGAGCACGATTCAGAGGTGAAAGAAAATGGCTGAAAGTTGAATGATTTAACCACTTAGCCACTTGCTTGTCTAGAGCACAATACTAATAATAATGATATGCTCGAAACTATTACGAGTTCACCTTACTCGATAAAAAGTAACGAAAATCAACCATACAGTCACATGATAGGCTATTCTAATCCGATTGTCCCCGACCTTGTTAACTAAAGCAAGAACTCTTAATAAGGCATAGAGAATGTATTCTCTACAGGCACCCAGAAAGATTGAGGAGTCTAAGCACACAAATCAAGCTTATTTTATACAATGATAGAAACGCCCTTAGTGAGCTGAAAATCTACCAACCAATGACAGTCAAGGATTTTCCGATGGGGGGAAATGTGTAGGCTGAAGGTCAACTGGTACTATAACATGGAAATTCAAAAACGTACCCAAAAAACAATAATAATCATAACTTACGCTTCAGATATAGTTGCAAGCTCTTCATCATTTAATGCTTTACGTACTTCTGCTTTATGTCGATCAATGGATATACTTAAAAGACGTTGTAATTTATGTAATAATTTCTTTTTCTCTTCAGTTAATGGTCCTTGTGCACGTAATACAGCAACAATTTTACTATAAGCTTCTAATTCAAGACGTCGTAAAATTTGTAAACACTCCCTTTGATCATAATCTAATAATATAGGCCATATATTGGTGAATTCATTCATTCGTACAATCACATTGGACATGATGATGATCGATGATGATGATCTATGATAATTGTCTATTAAAACAATAAATGATATACGTGTATGCATTATATGTACATTGAAATCGTTGCATGAAATACAATTAATGCTTCTACTAAGGGCTCTGTATGCATATTTTTGAAAGATGCAGTTAGTCAGTCAATCAGTCAGTTACAATGTAGAACTTTGTATGCTGATGATGGCCTGGTGACTGACAAAATCTCAGCACGGATACAGAAGGCTCGATTGGTTTTTGCCAATCTGCGTCATTTATGGCGTAGGCGAGATATCCGTTTGCTGACTAAAGGACGAGTGTACTGCGCAGTAGTTTGCTCCGTCTTACTTTATGGCTGTGAAACATGGCCAGTGAGAATAGAAGATATTCGTCGGTTACTGGTTTTCGATCATAGGTGTCTTTGAAGCATTGCTCGTATATCCTGGGACACCCGAGTGAGCAACGCTGTTATTAGGAATCGGGTGGTAGGTAAGGTTGGCAGATCAATAGATGAAGTAATGAAACTTCATCTGTTGAGGTGGTTGGGACATGTGTTACGAATGCCTAATCACCGACTGCCTCGAAGAGCTTTGTTTTGTAGTGTAAGAATAGGTTGGAAGAAAGTTAGGGGCGGCCAAACCAAAACATGGCACAAATCCATGAAGTCATTGATTGATGGACTTAGCCATGTCGGTAATTGTCGACTACCTGGTTGGGGTCCGCGAGATGATAATAATCGATGGTTAGAGACCTTGAATGACATGGCTCAAAATCGTTCGCAATGGTGCCGGTGCATTTATGCTTTGTGTTCTCTCAAATCCTAATCTTCTGGATTCTTCAACACCTCTAGTTTTGACTTTCTAAACTTTTCTCATTGAATCATACTTCTTGAATAATATCTTCTAATCCTAACCTCTCCGATTACTTCTAATACCTTTACTACCTCTACTACTATTGGATTTGAATTGACAATTACATCTCTGTGCTGATGTGGTATGACGACATGAACTGATGTACTTACGTACGAAGTTCTACGTTGCAACTGACTGACTGTATGCACGTACATACATCATCAGTTCAAGTTACCATACTACATTCATTAGCACACAGAGAGATGTAATTGTCAATTCAAATCCCATAGTGGTAGAGATAGTAAAAGTATTTGGCAGTAATCGGAGAGATTAGAATTCGAAGATATTACTCAAGAAGTATAATTCAGTGAAACAAATTTCAAAAGAGAAAGATAAAGGTGATGTAGAATGTATAAGCGACTATCTACTTAGATCCAGTCTAAGAGAGCTAGTTCTGCCTTAGGATTCAATGCTGTATCTACAGCCAGCGAGGCCACGGGAAGCGGCATTAGGGCTTCTAGATACACAGAGTGTAAACAGAATCGGTTCTTCGTTTGGATAAGGTGAAGTTAAATTACCGATTCTACTAGGATCCTGTATGAGCGTTTTTGAGATGCAGCATAGGTTGATGGCGCGAGATTCTTAAGTCCTAGCTAATGAAGCCTGTTGCTCTATTTGACGCAAGGCTCGAATATTAACAGCTCAAACACGTGGTTTAGAGCGGGGTTTCAGGAAACCAAGAATAACGTTTCGTGAACGTCCGAAACGTTTGCATCAGCGTAGCGAAGTGAAAAGTGAATGAAACAAGGGTTATTTGTGGAAATAAGTGAATTATTTAAAGGTGTAGGAAGGATTTGTTTGTGACCGCTTTGGTCTTGTGTGCTTTTACAGGTATGAGGTTAAATGCTATGTTGAAAGAAAAAAACACACCAAAGAAGTTAAGTACAGATGTAAGCCCAGAAAAGAATACACTGACATTTCTGTCTAGCTTACTAGATAAGAGCTTATGTAAGAAGCATTGAGCGGTGGTTTTTATTAAAATAGCTAGTTTCGATCACGCTCTGACCACATTGATAAGGTAATGCAGTTAGTATGATTAGTCCTCAATATTAAGTGAGGTTTATAGTCAAGTACACGAAACTGCACCAGGCAAATGGGTCTCTAAATGCCCAGATACGGTCGTCGGATAAGTCTGCTCCCCCTAACCGAATATCCTCACATCACCATGTGTATATAGACACTACCAGTGAAACTCAATTGCTGATGTGCTTAAATAAAATTTAGAAAATTTAAACATAAGCTGACAAAATTTAAAGAAGCTTTGACCAGCAGCAATTCTGTTTGGAAGCCAGTGAATCTAAAAGCTTCCCGAATCGAAGCACATGACGTTGGATTTTTATTCTGTAACCTATATTTTGACAGTCAAGTGCTTTCATCACCATTATCAAGAGAACCGATAGTAATTGAAGACGTGCAATTTTCAGAGCATCATACATTAAGTGTAACACTCCATATCACTTAAACATCAGTTCTGACATTTCAACAATGATAAATGCAATCATTAATTTGATAAATAAGAGTACAGAGTAGTGTCTGTGAAAATCCTCACCCATACCACTTTTAAGTCAGTGTGTATAGTTTAGAAAGTAAATCGTACAAGTATCTCAGCTATAAAAAAGATCTCGGTGAACAAGTATGAGCACCCATACGGTTTCTCACTTAACTATAAATACTAAATTTTGAATGATCTGATTGGGAACAAACTCTGTTGTCGTTTGCTATTTTGATCTCGTGCCTTGGGAACCAATCGGGATGAAGTGGGAATTATTATTTTCACCTAAAAGCTTTTACTATTCACAGTACTCACTAAACCCGACCGTAGCAGCTACCTTGACGTGGTGGTCGAGCTTGCCTATCGTGAAGGCTCAACCCAGCTATATTCGCTGGAGCATATGTTCCTGAAGGTTCTACCATGCCAGGCAGGTCGATTGGAGAACGATGAGACTGAAAGCAGCTACTCGACGTCTGAGGGCGAAGTAGTACTGCTGACTGCAGAGAGGTGTGACAACAGTAAGGTGTTTCCCTCGGAAAACCAGCATCTACAGCGATGCTGCCTTCTTACAAGGAAGGAAGGATGGGGTTAGAAAACGTCGACCCTAAAAATGTCACACCTCACCCTACCTCACGGGTTTCCGTCTCCGAGGGTAAGGGCTTTTAAACAAGAGCGGAGATAACAATTTAAAAACCTTTCATAAAAAAACCATGCGTGACCTGCCTCAAGCAGTTGTCCCTCGGGCTCTGCGGTCATGCTCTCAGGTCGTTAAGACCAAAACTAATATATCTTCCTTTACAGGTTCCTCATGAAACACCCTTCCATGGTGTGGGCAGCCGGGAAGTTACATCCGCCCTCATACCCGTAACAGCACGAGAGATCGAATTGGTCAAAATCAAATCCTTCCTACACCCCCTAACATCTCTCTTATCTCTACGACTAACTCTACTCACATTCCTTTATCATACTGCACAGCTAATGCAAACGATGCGAGTTCGCGAAACGTTATTTCTGGTCTCCTGAAACCCCGTTCTAGACTACATGTTGGAGCATTTACTGTACGGACATTGTGTTGAATAGGGCAACAGGCTTCCTTAGCTAGGACTTGAGGATCTCGCTCAATCGATGTATGCTGCGTCCCAGAAACTCGCATACAGGATCCTAGTAAAATCAATAATTTGATTTAACCTTGTCAAAATAAAGAAGCAGCTCGATTTATTCTTCGTGTATCCGGTAGCCCTAATGCTGCTTCCCACGATCTCGCTGGAGTAGGCATAGCATTGAGTCCTAGGGCAGAACTAAATCTCTATCTTTCTCTTTCTAACTCTATCTCAATGAATTATACCCTAATCTTCTCCATTACTGCTAATACTTCTACTATCGCTATAACTATTGGATTTGAACTAACAGTTGCGTCTCTGCGCTAATACGGTATGGCAACCTGAACTGATGTACATACGTACGAAGTTCTGTGTTGTATCTGTCTGTACTCACTAAAGGTTTACTTACAGAAAGCCATGAACAGTGGAAAGTTCTTTACATCAGAAATATCACGTTATCCTGCCAAGGACGTGTCACGTGTAGCGCAATCAGTTATTGGGAAAGAAAAATTACATGACGAAACTCATAACGACCGACTCTATCGCTAACATTATTCTAAAATATGTATAATTTATTGACTAAATGAATGATAACATGACCGTTATTACTGACTACGATACTTTTAAATGACAGGAAAACATGGAGTTTATCCCCAGTTCCTTTAGAATATGAACTAATAATACTGAAAGGATTTTACAGAAACCTTTCAAACCTTCAAAAGGTTAAGCTCTCTGATATAGTAATAATGGCTGGTGACTTTAATGCTCAAGTAGGTAGACTAAGAGTAAAGACACCTGGGTGATTCTTATGGTGTCGTGGCTCAAAGATCAAATAGTGACGACCGTCTGCTGCAGCTATGCTCAGATAACTGCCTATTTATAGCAAATACTAACTGTAAGCGTACGAAAAGACAGCTTTTGACATGGAGACCACCAAAGCCAACCCAACGATGGACCCAACTAGACCAAATCGCTATCAGCCATGAGTCGTGTGGCTACAATGAGGACGCCTAACTAGAACTCATGAAGAGCAGACTCGAGAAAACCAAGTTGGTTTCAGACCCGGACCTGGCTGTGTAGACCACTACGTCAGGTCCCGAAACACAGACACACATTTAGGCGTCTGACAACAGTTGTCCTCCTGGATCTTAAAACGGTATTTGGCTTTGCTGATCGTGAGGTTCCGTGGCAGTGTCTGTCATTGAAAGGATTACCTAAGAAGTAAATTAACCTTATACAGGCTCTCTAATCGAACACTACAGGTCGAGTTAGAGCTTATGGCGAACTGTCATCAGAAGTGATTACTTCAAGTGGTGTCCGTCAGGGATGTTCACCCTCTCAATTCTTTAACTTTATCAGTGATATCCTTCTAGACACGAAATTTTCGTCTGACTTTTCAGGGGTGCACCCTCTACCAGGAGACACGATTGTTGACCTAGAATATGCCGATGACATAGTTCTACTTGGTGAAAACGCTGACAAAATGAAGTCTAATGACCACCCAAAACAATAATGCAAGCATGTTCAGAATGCGATTCTCTCCGTCGAAATTCAAAATGTCGCTTCAGAATTGGGTTCTATCGGCACCTGAACTCACCATCATCATCAACAGCAACGTAGAACTTCGCACGTAAGTACAGCCAGTTCAAGTTGCCATACCACGTTAGCACAGAGATATAATTGTCACTTCAAATCCCATAGTGGTAGAGGTAGTAAAAGTATTAGAAGCAATCGGAGAAATTAGGCACCTGAACTAGTAGTGATAGGGAGTGAAGTAGTTGAGCTTCACTTACCTTAGCAGTCTCCTAAGTACTAATGGCCTGGTGTCTGGCGGAATCATAACGCGGATAGGATACAGAAGGCTCGATTGGTTTTTACCAACTTGCGTCACTTATGGCGTAGGCGAAATAACGGTCTGCTAACCATAGGACGAGTGTACTTGGCATCATTGATAACTTGGTCGTCCTACAACGTGCGAGTAATGCCTTGCAGATATGTAGGATCAAAAGCCTACAACTTATACATGTATTTTACTCCTGAAGACCGTGTTCGGCACTCATAAAGTAATATGTAGTTAACTGCTGCTTAGCATATTCCCTTTCTTCGTTGGTAGATGGACATTACGCCTATAGAACAAGTAATGGAAGTTGACAAAAGCCAATCAAGTTTTCTAAATTCGTACAGAGATTTTGTCCAACAACAACCTACCACAGGTAGTGAGACTTCTAAGATAAATGAATTGATCAAGGCACTCAACTAGATCAATTTATGCCATTAGGCGTTGACAAGAAACAGTCGAGTAGCTGTGTGCTGCATTTAGAAGGAAGCATCCAAATACCCTTGGATACCAAAGTATGGAAGCCTGAACTAATGTACGTACGTACGAAATTGTACAGTGTAGCTAATTGACTGACTACGAGATGCTGGATTATTTTAAAGTCTTCACAAAACAGAACTGTCATCTGCTTGTTCCACCTCGATAAGCTAACCCTCAAGTGGGATTTAAACTCCTGAATAGTTAGATGAAGATATTATAACTTCTAGGAAGACATCTATGACGGAATTAAATAAAAATCGAATAGTGAGAAAGCATGACGAACAACACATCAGGTTAAAAACTCCGGTTATAGTTCGCCATAACCTCTGACTTTACCAACAGAGCATAATTCAAGAGGCCTTTATATATATTATATTTGTTGACAAATGATGTTACTTTTGTAGTAGCAAAGATAGACATATTGCTTGTCATATAGTTTAATCAGATTCAGTGGATAGTTTTTTAAGATATTAGCAAACAAACGTGATAAACTTTATTTCGTTGCTTTTTCATGGTCATACTCTTAAATTATATGATGAAGTATACAAGTGATCAGTCAAAACAATGACTGAGTCGCTGATACATATTTTAGAAGCAATTTTTAGTCTAAGTTGATAGTGTACAACATTATGCATACGTTCTGAACTGTATTTTCATGTCTCATTATCCATTCCGTCTGTCGGAAAGGGCGAAACTTAGCAATATACAACTTTCTACCCATCATAGACCGAAGATCAGCAACACTATGAACTGTTTTTCTAGATAAATCACCATCAGAAGTTTTTAAACATCACATACCCAACTACCCAAAGAATTTGCATACGTATCACATGGCTCAAACATTCTAATTAGTATACACTCATAACATTGTTGGTTCAATGAAAGTCAAATCTACGCAATAAACTATCGCCCTTATCAAGTGACTAACCTATAATAGCTTTAACTCAATGTTTAATCTGAACACTGCTTTCTTCCATGGTTTCACCAACCCAAACAGTGTTGTCAGTCTTTAATGGACAAGTCTGGCAGCTGCTAAGTGTCAGAGGGTCCAGTACTAAGAACAACAGTTTCCTCCTAACAATATTCCGATATCTGACGGGAGTCGGAGAATTTCTGTGAGCGTTACTCTTCATTGCATAACCAGTTGACAGTCTAGATCATTTCTGGGGCATCCCCATATCTGACAGTCGATAACCATACCCAACATTGTCAGTCCCATCCACTTTGTTCAAGGCACTGCACCTTCCCAATATTACAATCAAATAAGATTATGTTATTGTGTGCTAACTAAAAATTCTCAACATAAAAGATTATTCGTAAATTCACTAAATTTAGCTACTGAACCTCAGTAAATTAGGTAGAAGTTCTCGAGCTGGATTTCTTGTGTAAAATCTATTGATGGTGATCGGCTATTCACAATATGGGATCTCCATCAGTATGACAGACTTTGAGAGTTGCTTAGTTAGATAACTGAACTACTGCACCAACCAAAAAGCAAGATAGAGATATAAATATTGAAATCGGCACCACGGAAGCGTCTTGTGAAATTTCATGACTATATTAAGGTGAGTAAAGAAACAAAGTGTCGGCTGAATAACATATGTGCTTTTAAGACTAAGGATGGCCAAACTAAAGTGTGATATCGCCTTATGAATACGCTGTTTTATCGGACAGTTACGTCTGAGTTACGTGTAGTTAAACAAGGCAAAAGGAGATTTATGTAATAAATTAAACTAACTGTTGAAGGCTACACGATACAGCTTAAAATCAGTCTCATAGAGCGATATATCTTTACACCATAAGATGAATATCACTATTGTTGTAAATTTCATAACACAAATTAGAGTAACGCATTTTTCACGTTTAAATCAGTTGATGTGAGACTGTATCTTGAATAAAGTACAGTTCCAGATGACAGACCAAATTTGGTTAAAATCCACCGAAAGAGAAACAACTTGAAACAATGAGGGAGTTAAGAGTACCGTCAATATGGTGAATACATCTATGAAGTATTATCAATTTCGTAGACAGAGAGAAAATTCCTGTGGCATTTCATTTCTATAGTACATTACCTTCTATAATTATTCATGATGAAAGTGTATTATTAGTTATATGAATAGATTGTAGATTACATGACAGAAATTTAGCCCAACTATTGTTAGAAAGTGCGTTTGGGAAGTGTAAGTAGCAGAAAATTTCAACGAACTAAAGAGGTAAATTCCAACCCAAAAAGAGAACAAACAGACACAGGGTGCTTAGAAATAGTACGCAGAAAATAATTATGGGAATGTTACCATGATAATCTACATAATCTGAAAATAATTCATCACTTTAACGTGCCGTTTAAATGTCATTTATGGAGGAGAGTTACTGGCGCATTAGCATCTAAATAGATACGTGTTTTTACAAGATTAAGAAGTGTTTGCAAGGTTGGTAAAGGGGTACAACAAAATCGAACAATAGGTCGATGTATTTCTTGAGGATATTTTAAAGATAACCTAACCTTGTTCCGAAAAAATTACCTACTTTCTAAGCCATGAACTAACTGTTTTGAAAGCACTTGTGAACGATTATAGCAATCAGATAAAACGTAATTTTAATCGATGCATTGTAGTGACAACTCACCGTTACACCTGAAAAATAATTTATGCTGTGTTTTTTGTACCCTTAATTCAAAGATTATAAATATAAGTCGACAGTCTTGTCAGAAATCAATCTGTCTATATTTTCACAATTATAGGAAAGAAAGGATCTACCTCCAAGTCGCCCGCCAGTACGATTTAAATCTTTCTCAGCGCTTATGCCAGACGCTCAATGTAAAATGGCTTCCATCGAATACCAAATGACTAATGTAAACCGGATGTTTTTGTACCTGCATTTTGATGTCAAAGCACGATTTTCGCTCTTCTGTAGCCTCCGATAATGGTAATCCACCCAATGAACAAAAGTAGTACTTGTGTATTTGAAGGTTATTTAGGGTTCAATTATCATTAGTTTAAGTCAAAGCCATTGCTAAATATACTTGTACATAGTTCTTAGTTTTGGCTGCCTATGTATTTTATGGCATAAAATGCCCAGCAGTAAATCCAAATCATGGAATATTATTAAGACAAACGATATTCGCATCCGATTATTTTGATCAGTTAGGGCAAGAGATAAAAAGTAACAACTGATTACGATTGGTATAGAACTATTAAATGAATAAAAACAACTCGCTATTCACACTATCCTATTTTTACTTGCCAAAGAGTAGAATTATATGAACTTCTATAAATATGGATGCATATGTGGAGGAGCAGTGGCGATTAAAAATCCACCAACAACCTACTATTGAACAGAAAGCTGAAGATTATCACATGCCTACTGGTTTCGTGAGGGTATTCGCGGACTTCCAGAGATTCGATACTGTGCTCCGCTTAGTGATGCACACGTTGCATGTTATAACAATGTAAGCTAAATGTTAACATCATTTAATTGTACTGCTCAAAAAAAAGGAAAATAAGTATGAAGTTGATGTTACTTTGAGTCTAACTGGAGATTTTATTGACAGAATGAACAATTATATTCAGATGCGAAGCTTTTCCAGTTTATTTTTAGAGCTCAGGTTTCAGTATTTTGTTCTAGAATCCCTGCAACAAACAATGAATATGGATTTTTGAAAATGTGCTAACCTTAAATGGAAGGTCTTCTATCTATAACAAATCTCTCAGCATTATGTGTATGTGCTATCAGAAAAAGACTCATTTTTAATATAACTGCTCAACCTTTGACTTTGAATATAGTTGCATGTGTAACAAATTGATCTATCCTGCAAACTCGCATGCCTCTTAATACACGCTGTTATTTGATCATAAAGATATCACTAATAATATCATTAATATAGATTGCCACACAACCAACGGAAAATGTGTGTTACTGTAGCGTGATTCAGTTCACAAGGCCATCGATAAGTTCCAAATCCCTACCTCAGAAAAGTTACCATGATGTGTTATATGGAAAGAAAAACAGTATCCTCCATACGTCTGCAGCTGAACAACCAGATAGAATAAAAATTACCAGTCCGTATAATAAACCTTGATATCGATTCACCTTCAAATATTGTTAATGGCAAACGTTGCGAAGATGGGCTTTAATGACGCACTCTAGCTTGGCTCAGAAACTACCTTCCTACCAACGTGAATATAGTTCATGCGAGATAGCGAGTCTCATCATCAGGAGTTCCACAGGGAGTCATCTTAGGCCCACTTATCTTCCTTAAGTTTATAAATGACCTGACACAAAATCAGCTCAGTTTTACTGATCTATGAAGACAACAAAGATATCTAGATGTCCACAAGAAACAAAGAGGATCTTGAGATGGTGGGGAAAACTTGTAGCTCAGGTGGATGATTGTGGTGGTGTTTTGTTCTCTGAGCTGGTTGTTTTGGTTGTGGAGCTTTCATTGTTCTTCTGAACAACATCATCAGCACAAACTTCAGATAGAAGAAGTGAAGCATTCGAATTTCTCCACGTTTGACCTGTAGCTTGTTCTGCTAACCTCGACCTTGATTGGTTGCTGTTCACATTTGACCTGTCGTTGTTTGCAACTTTGTTTTGATTGCACCCCTCTTTTGATCTGTTTCTTGATCCTGTGTCACCTATGATTTTTCTGATTGGATGATAGATTCAGTCAATGTCGATGTGTTTATTGATTGCTATTTGAGCGTCAAAATGACCAGAACACAGTAGGAGAATGCTCAGAGGACTTCAGGTAGAAACTTAGCCAGTCGAACTGCCGCGTCATGAACATTCTACTAGACAGCATTCAAACAACTCGTGTTCTCGATCAAATTCCGCTCCAAAACTCCTCCTAGGGTTGTATCTTGGTCTAAAACCACAGAGCAGGAATATCACATCAAACTACATAGGTGGTGCAGCCAAGGCTAAAGCAACTCTTCATATTTAGAGACAATAACTTGGTGCATTCACCCCACAGTTACGTCTAATTCTCTTTATCACGTACGGATGGCCACAACTTAAAGTTCCCTATGTTTTTGCACCCAGTCCACCCAACATCACCATATAGGCTTTGCCAATATTCCTCTCTTTAAGCTTAGGACAGATGGCGGTGTACTAAGTAAAGGAACAGGTGAATAAGCAGTAGTTCACTCGGTTCAACTTTCTGGATTTGAAACACGGCTACTGAGAATAAAAGATATATGTTGGGTACTAGTATTTGATCACGGGTGTCTCGAAAGCATTGCTCGTATATTTTAAGACCATCAAGTAGGCAGTGCTGTTACTAAGAGACAGGAACTGACCAAGGAGAGCCGATCAATAGATGAAGTAGTGAATCTTCATTAATGAGGGTGTTTGAGACATGTGTTACGACTTCCTCGTAGGCCAATGTTTTGTGATGTAGGAATAGGCTGAAAGAAAACTAGGTGAGACTAAGTCAAAACTGCACAAATCCGCGAAGTCACTGAGAACTGAATTGACCAACGTTGGTAGTTGTAGACTACTTGTTTGAGGTCCGCAGGACGACAGTATTCGAAATTTCTAGCTATGTTGAAGATACGTCCACTATTTTTGTTCTCTCAAATTCTGATCTTCTGAATATCGAATGACCTTTCTTCTATTTCTCAATCTGCCTCACTGTCTTTTGATTTTGGAATTATATTTTCGATACACAATTAATTTTAATAACGCTTCTTCTTCTTCTACTTCTAGTATCTTTGCCGCTGAATGATTTTTATTGATAATTCTATCTCGGCGCTTATGTGTTAAGGCAACTAGAAGTGATGTACGTTAGGAGCAAGCAATATTTTACAGCTGTCCAAAGACATATTCTTGCCATCAACCACTTAACTCTCCAGTGTTACTTTTGTGAATGTGTCTTTCCGAATTAATGTACAATTTTTCGACAGGAGCCTCGCAGCGTCTATTTCAAGCCAATCAATTTGTGTATATTGTACTATTATCTACACAATCGAACCTTGCTTTTTGTTTGAATTAGTGTAAGTATCGCCTGCTATGTATATGAAAGTCTACACTTGAAGATAATGATATGGATGAAGTTGGGTAAAACAATCAGTTTATCATTACTTACCTAATATTGTCACAAACATTTCACATCAAAATGAATTCTAAAAGAAGCCAAATGCATCTTTCCACTAACACCGAAGTAAATAAATTCCCACTGACAGTATTGTAATCAGAGTTAGAGTATCAAAGAATGCGTTTGTTCGACATACTGCACAGGCATCTACACCGATTATTGCAAACTAATGTTCTTTTTGAAAAAGATAAATAGATGTCGTACTAAGGCGATACTGACTCGATGTTCATTCTCACACTTAATGTATATACAACATATTTTCATGACCTTAATAACTTTTATTAAGATCCTCGCTTCATCGTGACACATATATTCATCCCTCATCACCTTATTAATAAGCATGGTAATCTTTATGAGAATTCCAACTTTACAATACTGGAGGTTGTAAGCAACTGATAAGTTATCGGGAAGAGGAAATAAATTCGTGTTATTCGACTTTTACCCTTCCTTTTGCTCTCAACGCAAATCCACCTAATTCCAGTCTGAACCGAAAAGACAGAACTTTGAACATAGCACACAAGCAGTAACACGGGCGGGACCGAACGAACAATCCGACACATATATGTAGGATAAGTAGGACTGACACCAGAAGGCCCACAGATTTCAACCTATCCTAGATGATGCCTCGGCAGTCTTTTCTTCTGCACCACATCAGGGCATCTTACGCAGCCAAATATAATAGGGCTGAACATAGATATTGACGCAGGTGAGGATCGTTGCGGAAAACAAAACTTTAGTTAGCTCAATAAGACAAATACAAATATAGTACAAATTTGTTGTATCTACAACAAAATTGTCGCTGAAATCGAGCATACCTTAAAGAAGTACATAACTAATTGATTCACGTCATGTGCCATCACCAGTTAATAGATATTTCCAAGTAGGAAGTCCGCTTGATTCTTGAATCTTCCTTCGCTGATCATCAGCTCTTCATAATAAGCTCATCACTCTAATATCACTAACAAGCATGAAATAAATAAATATCATCGACCTCATACAAACAGGTTTAGCGAAGGTAGGACACACAGGATTAAGTGAGAGATTTATGTCCCTGGAATATTCATCCATTCGTTCAAATAGAAGTTAGATCTGGAGTCATGAAAAGTATTGTTCAGCAACTAGTCACTCTGTTTTTGCAGTGCTGTTATGATTGTTTTTTGAGTATATTGGAGAAAGTTCTAGCATATTCAGTTCAGCCTGTATTAACGTTTTTCCTATCGTAACTAATTTATACATTCTAGTGCGTTTCGTTACGTTAATACGTTATTAACCTAGAATTATTCGTACTCCGAACTTTGTTCATTAGACGCCGCATTAAATCTGAGGGAATTCGCTACCCAGATTTTCAGTCTGTTGTGAAGGAATTTACATTTTGAGTCCTACGTCACAACCGTACAATACAAAAGATGTAAGATTACGAACAGTCTACTACTATCAGATTGCTTAAGGGATTAATCGAAGAGAAATTTTAGACAAATGATTAACAGGTCACGAAGATAAAATTAAAAAACAAGAGGTTATGAAAATCTTGTTGGAATTACTGACAGTTCGGTTCTGAATTAACCGTACATCTAACCCGAAAATTCTCCCAAGAATATAGGAAACAAGTAATCCCATTCAAAGTCGTGACAGTTAAGGGCAGCCAAAGAAGTTGCATGTAATAACGAACAAGATGACCATAACAAATTGAGCTTTAAAAGGGATATAGGATTCAAAGCATAGTTTAATTTCCTTGCAGCAACACCAAACCATAGACGACAATTAAAAACATGAAATTCTTGTGTATGTAGAATACGTTTTGAATGTTTTGTTTTTTGGAAAATCCCTCCATGTTTATATATTTTTGTTATGACATGACGGACTCTTTCTATTGACATTTTGGTATTTTATTTGATTCCAATTTGAGATTTTATCATTGTATATTGTTATTATTTCTATATTTTGTACCTATATTGAAGTTTTTATGTTTGCTTCTGAACTGTATATATGTTGTTTAAATTTGATCCTTAATATGGCCACAGCCATATTTGGATTGATACTGTGGCGGTTGGACTTAACGTCACTTATT